CATTTTCTTCAGGTCGTCAACTTCAGCCGTCCATGTCCTCAGTGGTCCGCTGTTGGTATTTCTACGGCTACGGTACCATGCCGCAGCCCAAATTTTGTGTGTGTGTGTGGTGTGTGTGTGTGTGTGTGTGTGTGTGTGTGTGTGTGTGTGTGTGTGTGTGTGTGTGTGTGTGTGTGTGGTGTGTGTGTGTGTGTGTGTGTGTGTGTGTGTGTGTGTGTGTGTGTGTGTGTGTGTGTGTGTGTGTGTGTGTGTGTGTGTGTGTGTGTGTGTGTGTGTGTGTGTGTGTGTGTGTGTGTGTGTGTGTGTGTGTGTGTGTGTGTGTCCGTCCGTCCGTCCGTCCTCAATGGGAGTCCTCAATGGGAGTCCTCAATGGGAGTCCTCAATGGCATGATGTTGGTGGCTTTACTTGCAGCAACAGCTGGCTGCAAACGTGCCTTGTAGAGCTCTGTGCCACCCAGCGGCACACTTAAACCATTCATTCACTTCGTTCTTCCGGTACACAGCTAACCAGTACTTAGCAAACACCAAGAAGCTTTCGGACAAACCAGATGCGTCTATTGAAGAGCTCTTCATATAACCGCACCGCGTAGGTCCACCCTAAACACGTCCATGCTTGCAGGGCGCTGACGTCTACTTCTACCTGTTCGCATACCGCACCAAGAACTCGCTCACGCCACCGTGGATGGGCGTTGTGCACACGTCCGAGCTTTTCTACTTGTTCGGCGAGCCCTTCTCGACCTCGTGGTACACGGGCGAAGAGCGAGCGTTCAGCCGAACAATGGTCGATATCTGGAGCACCTTCGCCAGGACAGGGTACGAATTGAAATACGGGCGATAGTTGGAGATTTAGCTATTGAGCAAGTTGAAAAACAGCCCTCACACCATGCGGACTCCGAAAAGAGACAGACCACAGCGCTGTCTCGCAGCTTAATGTTTATCGAAAGCAAGTGTGCAGAAACTATTACCCTATACCACCTTCGAATCGATGTGACCACTCTGAAACAAAGGACGACAAAGCGGCATCCATATTGATTTGGAAAATGAAACATGATAAAAACTGCGTGTACATCCCAAAAAAATATAAAAAGTTAACACTCTCTCAAAATGCAACTCGCTGTCATGTAGGCCAATGGAATGTACGTTGAGACATCACTCACCTTTCTATAGGCACCCGACAGTGAACCACAGGGCGCAACGAAGCTCATTGGGCCGCCTCAGCATTGTTGGTACCAACCGCCAGAGATACTAAGATAATGGAACGCTCGCTGAACACAGTGACACGCTGAAGTGTCAGTGCCCTTTTTGGCACATTTGCAAAGAACGCTTCATGGGCGCTTACATAATCAGCCGTGACCGCTTGCTCACAACTAAAGAAGAAAATGATATGCACGTGCAAGTTCGGTTTTGCTGCGTCTACCCGCTAGGCTACGCATTGAAAGGCTCGGTTTTGCTGCGCCTACATGCTACTAGGCTGTGTGTTCTGGCGCTACCATCAGATCTCGTAAACTGCATTGCCGGGTGCCTATACTCAGCTACAACTTTTTGGCACTGAAGGGCAAGCTGCGGAGCCACATCACATGCATCCTACCGCCAGTGAAGATACTTCCAAAGTAACACCCGTATTTTCAACGTGAAATATACATGTTCCTTTTTTTCTACGTGGAGCTATTTGAGACAGGACGCAGCTCACACCTACAATATATTCGTATTTCTTTCAATTTATCAGTTGTTACATCCCGTCTTTGAATGCGTGAAAAAGTCCCGCCTTTTTACGTCCACCTCAAACGCTCAGCGGTGTCTGCGTCTGCACGAAACGCTGATGGTGCAACAAGACTTTGCAACAAGACTTTGCAGACGGCAACAAGACTTTGCAGGCTTTGTAAAAAGACATGGCATGAAGACGCCACAAGTGTGTGGATGAAAGAGCGCTTGTCCGTGTAAAGCTTTGTGATCGAATTTTCGCCCCCTGCTTGTTCTTGTAGTTATCGGGGCGGCACACTGCTCTCCCATAGTTGAGTACGCAGTACTCGAAATCGTTTAACGCTTTTTAAGTGCGAAGCTCCTTAAGCCGTGGGTCGTGCGTGCACGATGTATGTAGTAGTAGCAGTTGTAGTCGTTGTCATAGTAGTAGGTACCCACCTCTCGTTTAGTCCTTGGAATGTCCACTGGATGGCGGTACTTCTATATAATTATTATATACTGAAAAGATGTGAGATGGCGGTACTTGAAGTGTTCACTAGATGGACAGACAGACAGACACAAAAAGACAGACAGACAGACACACAGACACACAAAGACAGACAGACAAAGAAAGACAGACAAAGAAAGACAGACAATTGATTGATTGATTGATTGATTGATTGATTGATTGATTGATTGATTGATTTGTGGGGTTTAACGTCCCAAAACCACTATTTGATTATGAGAGGCCGTAGTAGAGGGCTCCGGAAATTTTGACCACCTGGGGTTCTTTAACGTGCACCCAAATCTGAGTACACGGGCCTACAACATTTCCGCCTCCATCGGAAATGCAGCCGCCACAGTCGGGATAAGAAAGACAGACAAAGAAAGACAGACAAAGAAAGACAGACAAAGAAAGACAGACAGACAAAGAAAGACAGACAAAGACAGACAAAGAAAGACAGACAGACAAAGAAAGACAGACAAAGACAGACAGACAGACCGAAAAAGACAGACAGACAGACAGACAGACAAAGACAGACAGACAGACAGACAGACAGACAGACAAAGACAGACAGACAGACAGACAAAGACAGACAGACAGACAGACAAAGAAAGACAGACAGAGAAAGAAAGACAGACAGACAGAGAAAGAAAGACAGACAGACAGAGACAGAAAGACAGACAGACAGAGACAGAAAGACAGACAGACAGAGACAGAAAGACAGACAGACAGAGACAGAAAGACAGACAGACAGAGACAGAAAGAGACAGACACAGACAGAGACAGAAAGAGACAGACACAGACAGAGACAGAAAGAGACAGACACAGACAGAGACAGAAAGAGACAGAGACAGACAGAGACAGAAAGACACACAGACAGAGACAGACAGAGACAGAAAGACACACAGACAGAGACAGACAGAGACAGACAGAGACACAGACAGACACAGACAGACACAGACAGACAGACACAGACAGACAGACAGATAGACAGACAGACAGACAGACAGACAGACACAGACAGACAGACAGACAGATAGACAGAGAGAGAGATAGATAGATAGATAGATAGATAGACAGACAGATAGAGAGAGAGATAGACAGACAGACAGACAGACAGACAGACAGACAGACAGACAGACAGACAGACAGATAGATAGATAGATAGATAGATAGATAGATAGATAGATAGATAGATAGATAGACAGACAAACGCTTCGTCCCACCGATCATGATTCTCTCCATGGATATGCTGTGATTTTTTTCTAAACACCTAAATTCTGGCCATCCGCATGCAGCTCCAATAAATGATCATGCATAGTGCAATGAATCACCAACATACTTTACCTGAACACAACTTTTAGAGAAGGTAAACTGTATACACTTAAATTTTCAACAAACAAATGAGCTCAGCGGTGGCGTATTTGACAGCAGTAATCTTAGGAATCCGCCGGCGTTCACAACCGCTTTCCCAACGCATACTAACACATGTACCGCTTAACACGTCCTCAACCTTTTCTTTATAATTTTATAAGATATGCTCAGTAAAGCACGTTTGTGAAGCGATGCACCAGTCACTACGACTCTGAGCAGTGTCTGTAAATTTCAGGCAGCCTCCGAAGAACCTGCACTGGCCTAAGTACCTGTGGAGCCGGCCACGTTACCTGCGGCTCCAGCCGCGCAATTTCCTACCCGGCCGTGGCCCCCGTGACGAATGGTGCAGGCTGTGGCTTAAACCCGGCGAATGAGGCCCAGCTCCGGTCAGCGCATCCGGGGGTTACGCCGACAAGACGGCGCCGCAACCACGAACGCTTACAGCGTCCGTTCAAAACGCCGAATGAACGCTGTTCCATAAACGCTTCCAGCGTCTGCCTATTCTGCCAAATTGAGAAGCAGCGAAAGCGGTAACAGCACCGCGAACCCCTTAGAGCGTATGTATAAAAAACAAGCATATGTCATTGTGTCACTTATAGTAATTTACTCTCCGAAGCGCACTGCGACAACAATATCTCTTTGCGGTGCTTCGTACTTTGAAGGCAAGAGACTTACATATTCTATTAAACACGAAAACTGACCATCAGCATCAGAACTAGTAATGAAAAAAATGGTCACGTGATGGCGGTGTCTCATGGCGTCACAGATTGTGAAATTGTTCGGTGCAAGCATGACGCCACTGTGACACCACATTCGATGGCGTCACGTGATGACATGGTTGCCTGGTTAGAAATAGGCCAATCACAAATGCCGTGCAAAACCAGATAGCACAAAAACATCCTGCGATGCCTCCGATCTCGGACGCAGTGCAACAACACGATAGGTGCAGAAAGCTTTCGTAGCAGGGCGGGGGAGGATGCATACATTAACTGTGAAGAAAACGAGCGGATGGCTCTCAAGTTCGATTCGTAGGAGGTGAATGCATGAGGGACCTGTGAGACTTGTCGCTATGACATACGCCCCGCCACGGTGGTCTAGTGGCTAAGCGACTCGGCTGCTGACCCGCAGGTCGCGGGATCAAATCCCGGCTGTGGCGGCTGCATTTTCAATGGAGGTGGAAATGTTGTAGGCCCGTGTACTCAGATTTGGGTGCACGTTAAAGAACCCCAGGTGGTCAAAATTTCCGGAGCCCTCCACTACGGCGTCTCTCATAATCAAATGGTGGTTTTGGGACGTTAAACCCCACAAATCAATCAAGCTATGACATATGACAACTATGACAGCTGCATGTGACAGCGATGCCATATGTAGCTGTCCTGTCGTCGGGCAATGAACGTAATCCCGTCGCAAGACAGCTTAGCGAAAAAAGCAGGTACTAGCGTGGTTTCTCTGCGTATCGTTTTTGTTCCTCGTTTTTAATAAGCACGCGCAGTTCTCGACAAAGAACGTCCTGCAGAAAAGCAAGCCAACTAGGACAAGTAGGCCACAGTCCTTGTGGGTGACGACGCTACTTCCCGAGTCAAGAAGTAAAAATGTACATCTGGGCGAAGGGTGTTTTGTTCTGGGTGAAAGTCACCGGGTAGTTGTAGATGAGCGCGTCGAGTTCCTCCTGGGCCGATGCGAAGCTGTGGTTGTTCTTTCGTGCTGCGCATGCGTGAAAGAGAAACAATCGAGGGTAAGTTCGACGGCAATGAAATTCGAAACAGTCGTAGTGTGAAGACAGCATCACACCGGAGTCCTTTGCACAAATGCATTAAGTGTAGCTATACATTACGAAGCACAGGACACTCGCCTTGCTTAGCTTTATTACCTGCAAGATATCTGCGTGGCCTCAATGTGACGTCTTTGCTAGGGTACGGCAAGTGGTACCACGTGCGATGCTACGCGATGTAAGCCCAACGTGGGCGTGGGAATGGTGGCGTGTCGGCCTGTACACCAGTGAAATGTACTTCTTATGCATATTTACCCCAAGAAACATTTCGAATGAAAGCCTGCCAGGACCGTTCCTCGACGCTTCGAAGACCTTGGACACGGCAAACTCTACTTCCGTCTTTCTACCCTTCCACGCTAAAAATCTGGACGGATGACCCACATCGAAGACTGAACTTCATATGATGGTGATGATAATGATGATGATGATGATGATGACCTAAACGAATGTCTTTCACGCACACTGGAGGATTGACTAAGAAACGATTGTTTAGATAGTGGATCACTAACTTTATATGAATCAACTTCATCTTTTGCTTACGCACAACAATTGCAGGAAAACATGTAAGGCCAAAAAATGGCTCAAGGAAAAACGGTGTACCTCAAAGTGAAGTGCCATAGCATTCGTAAATAACTATTTAAAGGATGTACATTAAGTATTAAGATAAAGAGAAACCTTTTGGAAGAAAGAGCGCCGGTGTCTACCTCTAAATACCGCATCACAGTCGATGAGTATACGGAGTCCTCCATCTATAATGATTTCGGCAGAACCCACGTACCTTGCAAATCAATGTTATGCGAAGCCTGCGAATGCAAAGTGAATGTGTTTATTTTTTTGCGAGCGAGGCGTTATGAAGTGGCGCTCAATAGATGTGCAAATTCACGCACACACTTACTTTAGAGGAGCACTGACATCTAATTTACCGATGTCAAGATTTTTGCGTCAACGTGTAGCTATCGACCCCCTAGTAGCGATTCGGGACCTAAAACGCATCTGAGGTACGAATGAATATCTGTACTATTGATTTATATATCCGCTATCTAACGTGGTGCAAAATAGGTCGAAAGCCCGCCAAATTGTAGTCCTGGCAGCACTACCTCGCGGCCACGTCGAGGCCGCTGCACAGCTGATGCTGCTCGCACAAAAAAATGGTGACGTCACGCACACTGGCATTTAGTCTGCTAGGAGCTCACGTGCAGTCTGTCCTGCTGTATCCCTGATGATATAGACTAAAGCCCCTCCATTCGTTTTCGGCCGGCTAGGTTAAGTAGCGGCAACTCGTTCTCCCCCTCTCCTTTTAGCCCAGGCCTCGAGAAGAAGACCTGTACTGCCAGTGAAACCCGATTCGTTCGCTAACACAGAATGTGCCCTGGAGCAGCTCGGCGCTAAGTGAGGCGAGCAAATGTGGCTGTTATTCTTAGGCGTCCAGTCCATCTGACCATCGGCGCGTACGCAGTCAACCCACTGGCTGTGTTGAGGTTCGTGGTTTGGAAAGGCATGAAACGCCACGCAATTTCCGCTTTTTCCGTGCCTCGACGTGCAGGTTCTCACTGCGCAGCAGTTCCCCAATGTTCTGGCACATATTGTCACTCTGAATGATCATACTCACGCTGTGGAGCACATGTCAAATCAGTCCACGTGACACGATGAATCACACGCACGCTTCAACAGAGCAAGGAGAGCCATTAGTGGGAGCTTGGCCGGTAGTTGGCTCCAAACACATTCAGATTGTCGACGTCATTGCTACTGGCGTGTCGTCACTGAGGATGGTATTTGTGGATTTTACCACGCCGAACACGTAGGACTAGTGTCGATGTCGCAGGGCAGTCTATTTCCCGTTTTTTCACCTTAGCTTTTCTACGCTGTTTGACATTGAATTAAAATAACTTCCACGCGACGTATGCCATTCAAATTTGGCCAAGAAGATCCATGCATAGCAAGCGATCGAATGACGGGCACATCTCGATCTTGAATTTGATGTCAGTGTTCCTTCGAACAACCTTGTGTGTTTTATATTAGTACTGAAGAAGAAGAAGAAGAAGAAGAAGAAGAAGAAGAAGAAGAAGAAGAAGAAGAAGAAGAAGAAGAAGAAGAAGAAGAAGAAGAAGAAGAAGAAGAAGGAGGAGGAGGAGAAGAACATGATAATGGTAATGATGACGACGATGATGATGACGACGACGACGACGACGACGATGATGATGATGATGATGATCCTCTCATAATACTGGCACTCGCTTTCAAAGGAAGAGCGGCCACGAAGCGAGCGGCAAGATCTCTGAATTAGTGGGTTACGTATCCAAAAAATCCAATGTAAATAAATGTAGAAAAGAAATCGTAAATATTGTATGAAAATGCTACACGAGCAAGCGGTCAGGCAATCGAAGCGCTGCTATTAGTGCTGGTGCACGCGAGGATGGTAACCCTCAACACTATTACACAAATCAACTTCAGCGGATGGCGCCTAACTACAATTTACGTTAACCCGACATGACGGCTGTATCATAGGAGTACCTATGCAATGTTTATAAAATCGGACAGCCACTACCGCAACCCCAATTGAGTTTACGCGAACATGAGGGTCTATTTCAAATACGTTTTTCTCAAGAGTATTCATGTAACATTATAAAAAACATCACTGCATGTCCAGGATGTGAATGATGACGAGTGGGGCGAAGCACTCTGCAGCCCGTCCTTTTGGTAATACGATAACGTAACGCAAACTAGGAATTGGCAAACCTCAGCGCCTCGTCCACCAGCGTCTGGAAGCTCAACATCGTTCATAAGTAGAAGACCAGACCACCCGAAATGGACGCACGGACAGGCGGACGGACTGATGGACGCTTCGCCCCACTAATCATCATTCACTCCGTCGATATGCTGCGACACCGTGCAATGCAACGCAAGTGGCTACTAAGACGACTACGACAACATGGGACGTAGACCCATGGCGTAAGAAGCTTCGCCTCTAAAACACTCGTCCCGGATGTTGCTATTCTTTCTATCTATTGGCACTTTTTGAGTTCTGCATTCTGCCTGGTGACGTCTCTGTCGGAAGATGGTGCCCTTGAGCCCCGAGTACCATGCGCACTTCAGACGTTACGTCACGTGTCTACAGAACGTGACCTCATGCCCCCCCCCCCCTTTCGACCATCTCCGCGCTCCATCACGTGTACCATACCTTCTTCCAGGAAGAAGTTTGCCAGGTACTGCGACACTCGTACAGCGTCCTCGGTGTGGGGAATGTGGATGTAGTCTTTCCGTTGCGTCCACTCAAAGTTGTTTTTCTCAGGATGGAACTGGACGCCGTAGAAAGGGTACGAGTATGCTGCCAAGGAACAATTAATCAATGAGACATTAGTTTCATTCGTTCATTCATTCATTTATTCGTTCAAACGATGTCTGACACAACTACCCATACTGTAAATCATTTATTATTTATAAAAAATGAATGAATTCTTACGGTTCCTTTTTCGCAGCACTCCTTAAAGAGGTATCGCGCAGTTTGTCACCTATTAAACTTCACAATCAACCAGAGATCAACTCGCATCCCCTTTTCACATTCCGTCTGCTATGCCACATATACAGAGAAACAGCGTCCCTTAATTATATTGGTAGGAGGCCGTACGCTATCCCTGCTCTGAAAAAGACACGTCTTTAGAGCGGCACTGAAAGACGAACACGAAGAAGAGGAAGCACAGTTCCTGCATCAAACGCGTTAATATCTGAACCAGAAAAACTTTTTCCACCCGTTGAGAAGATAGGTGTTCGAAAGTTCAAACAATCTTTAGAAATAAGTGACTTTTTTACACAACGCCTTGGAGGCGTTTGATTACCTTCCATGCTGGAGATAAATGCCACGCCATTCTCATCCACGTTTGTCGAGATCAGCCGAAAAAAGTGGTCCAAACCGTAAGTGGTGAAGTTCTGCAAACAAAAAAATCAGTATAGAATAACAATGACGACCATAAAGTTAGTGACAATTTCTGTCCGCAACTATCTTACGGACTTCCTTAGGTAGACCATAAACGCCGATGATGCATACACTGGAAGGAAACTAAGTCGAGACCAAAAGCGAGAAACCGAATGTAAACAGATGACTGGGTGTAGAAGTATAACTTGACAATTTGCATGGCGTAGGGTTAATTTATTGCCCATGATGTCGTTCTTACGCAGAAACCTTTGGATAAGGGACGAGACTAATGAGATACACACAAGCGCTAAACTGCAAGCCTCTATGTTTTGATTTGGCAAATTTTTAAGTTGCCCTCTCGCGTTACTGTTCTACCAGCACATCTTTCTTTCAAGCTGAAAAGTCTGCGCTTGTCCCTGTCCAATCTTTTCTGTGTCCTTCTCTTTATTCGCACACATCAGTTTTGTTTCAAGTATGTGCCAGCTCGCCCAGCTCCAAGTGTTTGCTCTCTTTGTTTTCTTTTTGGGCTTTGTCCAAAAGCTTACGCGTCAAGGTGACTTCATGGATGCGGAAACCTGTAGGGAGCACAATATCTAAAGTTCGTGCCTTGAACTTCGGGTTGGCCACTTGAAAGCAGCAAAACAAAACGCAGGTGTGAACACGTTAGGTCTGCTGTAGCTTTTTTTTTTAAGTGTGACCTGCCTACGTACAGAGCAGCAGCTAAAGTCAGCAGTACAAGCAGAGGTCAGTGACAGAAAACTTAGCTTTAAGATCTCCTGTACAACGATCGTACCTGGGGCGTAAGGCACTTCCCGTGGGAGTTGTACGTGATGGGCTGCGTCCTCAGCGCCCTCTCCAGGGACCTTGGAAGCCCGTTGAACATACGGCTTCTCCGGAAACCTGGACAGGTGGCGATGGTAGGAGTACGTGTGATACGGATGCAGGGAGAAATCGGGCAGGTCAAATCACCACTGGAACCATAATTCATACTCTTGTCGGAAATGAAACTATTTAATTACAAAACACATTGTTCAACCATCCAGGAAGCTATGCTTCACCTTGGCTGAATGCGGTGAAAGCGATTGTCATATAGGTCTGGTTTCTTCGAAACTCTTACATTGATC